TTACGCTATGTGCTAGTTTTTCAATGGTAAATACTCAGTCCTGGATTTTTTTATATATAAAAACTGGAAGTAGGAGAAAAATAGATGAGATATAGATGGAAAGTGAAATCATTAGGTGCCTGAGACTTATAAATAATAAAAAAGTGATTTTGAAGAAAAGAGAATTTCAACACCCACCCTTCTAAATGGGCTTCTTCCTCCTGTTTTCAATACATTCAACACCCAAAACATTTAACAGTGTGGCTGGACGTGCTAGTGAAAGCACTGCTTCTTCTAAAATCTCTAGCAAGAACTATTGACAAGTCTTTGGTTTAAAAGGCTATCAAAAAGGATACAGAGCCTTTGAGTAAAAACTAACGAACAAAGCTATCAAATATGGGTCAAGGATTAAATGGGATCTGTAATTGTTAAGGCAGCAATTCCCAACCTGTAGGTCATGACCCCTTTGGGGGTTGAACGACCCTTTCACAGGGGTTGCCTGATTCATCACAGTAGCAAAATTACAGTTATGAAGTAGCAATGAAAATAATATCATGGTTGGGAGTCACCACAACAAGAGGAACTGTCTTAAAGGGTCATGGCCCTAGGAAGGTTGAGAACCACTGGGTTAAGGGAAAAAAAAGATTTCTTGTATCATGGTTAACTTTTATTTGCATGCAGGTAACTGGATACTGCTTCCGGGGTAGGGTCATCCAAAACCAGGTATAAAATGCACTCCCGCATCGGGTTGTTAAAGTCACGTTCAGACTGGGACACATCCAAAGCTCCAGAAAAACCTTGTGTTGAAACAACAAAAACGGCTGATGTGACCTTCTGGGAAGATGTTGCCTTGAGGTGCAACAGCATCGATTTCCACGTCAGGGGTTTTACTTTGCCGCCACCTTTACAGATGGCGGCACGTCTCTTTCCCATGGAGCAGGTGGGAGGGCTTGAGCTGGCAACCTTCCAGTTAGCAGCAGAGCATCCCCCTGTTTATACCAGGAGGGTTCCTTTTGGAGAAGCAAACATTGCAGGTTTCTGCACACAGCTCTTTGTTCAACTCTGCCCTTGCTCCTCAAACCACCTGCAGCACCCTCTCCAGCTCAAAATGTGGAGAAATCACATTTGGGTTGGAATTGTAGGTTAGGGTGGGGAGGGATAAAAATGATTTAAAAAAAAAAAGATAATCTACATCCAAAATAAGTTGCCCAAAGCTTTCCAATTTTGGTTTTGTTATGCTAAACCAAAACATACCCCCAAACACACTGCCACTGCCACGATGTGGACTCAGTGACCCTCTAGGACAGGGTAGAACTGCCCTGGAGGGTTCCTGAGACTGTAACTGCTTACAGGAGTAGAAAGTCTCATCTTTCCCCGGAGGACTGGTTCGTGGTGTCAAACTGCTGACCTTGTGGATCACAGCCCACCTTGTAACCACTCCGCCACCAGGGTCCATGGAAAAAAATTCCCAAAGGATTGTAATCCACAGTCATGTCCAACTGCTGCTTATGAAGATTTTACTCTGAACGTAGTCTTCGAGTAGATGAATGAATTCCTCCCATTCCTTAGATAACTCAAGAACAGAAAAGCAACCACACTGATGTTGGCATAATACTCTCTTTCTTCAAATACCATCTTCCTACCTCAATCTCTTGTCCTGTGAGCCATGATTCTTTAAGGGAGCATGCTTCAGGCATTTCCCAGGAACTCTCTTTCGAATCCAGGTTGTAATAAAACTCATATTTGTCCTGCAGGATGAATTTGAGCCACGGGCCTTCATTAGACACTGATGAAAGAAAAGCGTATTCAATTTTACAAAGGAACACAAAATCCATAACTACCTGTATAGTTCTTCAATATGTACAATAATCCAGTATTTAGCATATATTTCTCACAAACTATCCAGATGGTATACATTGGAGCCATTGGAAATGATCCACTGACAGGAGCGGAGTTCTATGTAGTCAATGGGGGTTCCTGGCTAGGCCGAGGAAAAGGAGAGAGGGGTGTCTAGTGCTTGCACTGAATCCCCGTTTTTTCACGAGAATGACAGGCATATACCCTGGCCAAGGAGCTGGGAGAGGAAACAGGAATATACCAGTGTGGCCCAGGCAGACGTGAATACCACCACAAACAGCCACAGGAGCCCAATGAGCAAAATCCTCTATGCTTAGAAAGTCTTTTCGTATCTGAATTAATAGCTTCTTTGAAAGGACCCACATTTAAGGGGAGGTGGGCAATGATCTATGTTAAACCAAACCCACAGCGACGCATCTTGGTGACAAATTCTTCTACCAAACAGGATGGCCTGCATCCAACCTGAACGTTACTCATTAGGGGAAAAGAGATTGCATGGTTCCTCTGATTCACTTTGCTCTACACAATCACATAAAATAAGAATGAGAACGTTGAGATGGAAAAATGCAAACAGTGCATGTGTCATGTGATTTTTTTTACAGACTGTACAACCCCTCGGCGGTAGCTTCCTATGAGCGCTATCTATGTGTGCTGTATGTCAGTGCACATTTACTTGGACATGTTATCCACGAACATATGGTAAGCAATGTTCTGGCAGGGGCTGGAACATCTACGGTAGTCAGGAACTAAACTAGTCACGAAAAACACCACTTCCTCATGAAATCAGGGGCTGCATTTCCTTCTTATAAATACCTTTGTTTTGTCATACGGTCACCACTCCTGAGCCCAACAACAGTGAAAGGAAGGACTTAGGTCACCCTAGGTCAACGGTTGCCAAGTGAGCATTAGACTCGATGGTTTTACAGGTGGATCAGCGCTCATGTGACTTTCTGCATCAGTGTACCTGGACTCAAATAACTAACCAGATGTAACCTTAGAGCCCTTCAAGTACGCTGATACTTTATGTGGTTTTAAAGATCTCTTAGCCATTTGTTCTAGATGCTTAATGTCTAGGAAGGACAGTTAGCAGCTGTTCATCTCTATGGAAACAGTTCACTACTAGAAAATGTACTGTTATAATCAACTAGGATGTCCACAAGAATAAATGCTTTTGGAAGAGCAATCACACTTCTTGTGGCCACTCTCTGAGGGAGGAAAGGAGGTCAGTCACGATGGTGAAAGCGCATCTGTTTGATTAGAAACCAGCAGCAGGAAGTTCTTATTCAGTTAGTAGTCTACTGGATTAACGTTACAAGGCTTCATTTGGGTTGGGATGGCAGTGGGGACTAGCAAAGAAGAAATCCTATTGTTTTCATTTTTCTAGTGTGAATACATAATGAGACCAGACGCCGAGGGGAGTTGGTTACAGCATGGAGTCTAAGTGTTCCCAAGGCATGTCGTTAGCTGGTTCTGGAAAGAGGCTACACAGGGTATTTGAGGGAGACATAAGAGAAAGATCCCTGCTAATTAGGAGATGAGCACTCTAAAAGGAAGTATACTTTTGAGACCGTTAAGGAAAAGCCATACCTCTATTTAAGAGCTAAGCTGAAGTAGAAGGCTGAATGAGCCACATAAGGATGAACATTTCAGCTGGGAAGAGAGGAGACATCCTAGAACCAGAGGCTTGACAGGTAAGAATAAACATCCTCCCCTTTCCAAGAAACAATGTGCACAGGCTTGGTGGTTACAGTCTTTGACTGCCTGGAAAATTTGTCTTCTTTGCAGCATAAGGATTGGAAATCTTTTTCTGTTAAAGGACTTCCAAACATATTATAAAGCTTCAGTAATGAAAACAGTGTGGTGTTGGCATAAAGACAAATGCACAGAACAGAAGATTGAGTAGTTTTTGTCTTAAAATCAAGAAACTCTAACATTATAGAAACCATCTTGTTCAAAATGATATCATCTTCCAAAGTAAGGAAAAAGGCTTACCGTTTCTAGATTTGTCTTCTTTGGCCTTCAGAAGAGCATCATAGTACTTGTCAGCACACTCGGGGATTATGTCATTTGGATTTTGACTGGACGATGTCAACACAGATACAATATCCCTTGCTCTTTCTCCCTCCAAAAACTGGTTAACATCAATGACCAGACTAACCCCTAGATAAGGAAAACAAGGCTTCTGTTAGAGGTTCCCTTCGACTTTCCCTGACAGGCACGTCATCTCACCTTTTAGGAATGGAATAAACCAAACCCAACCCACTGTCATCGCGTTGATTCCAGCTCACAGCGAACCCACAGGACACAGTAGAACTGCCCCGTGGGTTTCTGAGGCTGTAATCTTGATAGGAGCAGAAAGCCTCAATGTTCTCCTGAGGAGCAGGCAGTAGTTTTGAACTGCTAACCTTGTCCTGAATAGTCCAGCATATAACCCACTCCACTAGCAGGGTATTACATCTTTTTTATGCATTGCTGTTGCTGTTTTTGTGCTTTCTGAAGAACCTATGGGGCAGACTAGAACTGCCCCATACGCTTTTCATGACTGTACTCTCTACAGAAGCTGATCTTCAAGGCCCATTTCTTCGGCAAACCGTTTGTACAGGTTGTAAAAACAGAGGGACCGTGGCCGCCTGCAGCCCAATGCATAACCCACAGCACCAGCAGGGCTGCTTCCGTAGGAAAGAAAGGAGCCGTTCTTTTTACTCTTTGAGAGAATGTTCCCAATCCAGACACCAATTCGCCTAGACTAGACTGGAAAACACTCCTAAAGATCAACAAACAGTCCTTAAACTAACTGCAAGCTTTTCTTTCTTGTTGTGTTTTGTTTTTGTCACTGGTTTGCTGTTGTTGATTTTTGTATATTGTTGCTTGGTTTTGTTCTGTCTTGTTTTTGTGCATGTTATTATCTCCACAGGTCTGTCTAAATAAGATAGGGTGGATGAACAATCTGGAGGAGAAAACAATGGGACCGACA